AAATCATATTTAATTACAAGTAATAAGGCATATTTTATATTAAATTTTTTTGTAAAATTTAACTTGTTTTAAATATGTAAAATTTTGTCAAAATTTTTTTTTATAATTTATTAAAGTTGCTCTTTAGTATTTCCCATGTTCGTGTGAAAAAAAGTTTTCAGAAATATAAGAAAATATTTATATTTAATCTTTTAGTTGATTTAATTTTTACTACTGATAAAATCTGTGTTTGTGCCAATGATTATGTTGAATTAGATTATTCCTTTCATAATAATAATTGAAAAGATGTTGACAATTATGATAAATTTTTCCAGGAACGATTTTACATCACTTGTTGTTGGAGTGTATTATTCTGTTGGAATGCGCAGGCTTCTTCATTGATGTTGTTGTGACTGGGGCATCCTGGAATAGAAATATGTGGAAAAAATTCGGCATTATCTTGGAGTCTGTTAGCTGCCAACACATGTGTGATGAACTTAGGAGGCTTTGGTTTGTGTCAGATTTTCCTCATCTAATCAAATGTCTTAGGAATATAATAGTTGCTCTAATTAACTTAAAGGTAAATTATGTACATTTATTTTTTGAACTCTTGTTTTATAAGTTAATACCATAAGCCTAGTTGAACCTCATTAACTTGAATTTTTTATAACATGAATTAATTTGTAATTCCTGGTGAAATCGCATAAAATATTATATTATGTATAATTAATGCAAAATGTATACATATGTACTGTATAATTTTTATTAAAATTAAATATATTCAGACAATAAACAAATGTTCTGTGCTCTTTTGAGCTCATGTTCACAAAGTGTAACTGTATATAATTTAAACATTTGTCAGTTTGAAAATGTATACATATTGTTTTTTATTTTTAACCTTCTCTGATATAAGAAATATTAGGGAAGGTAAAATTAATTTATATGTTCATAAAGTTGAAAACATTTTCTAATTATCATATCAAATGACAATTTAGACACCAGATGGTCCTATTAAGCTATCATTCTGGGATACTGTTATTGAATGTGATAACCCTAAAGACTATAGTTTGAAAGTTTGTCCGAAATTAGCACCAGAGCTTGTGAGACCAAAGTTTTACGTAGGTCCTAGGCACGTGCCTAGGACCTACGAAATTCAGGGGCCTACGAAAAACTTAGGAGAAAAAAATTTGTTGACAAAAATAATTTAGCTTTAAAAACAACAAGTGTATTTTGCACAAAATTATGAAGATACAAATAAAAATATATTATTTTTCGGTTATAAATTATTTTGCAGAATCTTATGATCTATTATATTACTTTTTTGCAATGTTTGGATTCAACGAAATCTTGTATTATGCTGTCGAATTCCAAACTACGCAAAATGTCGTATTCAATAGACATAAGTGCTAGCGATGCCAAACGATCTTGATTCATTGTTGAACGAAATAATTTTTTATCAATTCGCGATCGCAACGCTCGAGTACGCCCTCTATCGGGAGCCTGTAAATATCGGACATTAATTTATCACGTTTTCATTTAGTTCCATAAAAGTCATCGGCCATGACGGACGTCATTTTCTTAGCAGCAATAAAAATCAAAATTTCCCTAAGGCGAGGGCNTTCACAAGGTGTAACTGTATATAATTTAAACATTTGTCAGTTTGAAAATGTATACATATTGTTTTTTATTTTTAACCTTCTCTGATATAAGAAATATTAGGGAAGGTAAAATTAATTTATATGTTCATAAAGTTGAAAACATTTTCTAATTATCATATCAAATGACAATTTAGACACCAGATGGTCCTATTAAGCTATCATTCTGGGATACTGTTATTGAATGTGATAACCCTAAAGACTATAGTTTGAAAATTTGTCCGAAATTAGCACCAGAGCATGTGAGACCAAAGTTTTACCAAAAAATGAATGTGGCTTTAGCTTTTCAGGCAACTTAAGATCTCTTTAAATTTTCTCGTCTTTAGAGATAACTTTATTTGAAAATATATTTCTCTTAGTGTTTTAGTGCTTCTGTTGCTGCTGGCATGGAATTATATAAAGATCACTCAAAAAATTTAGCCGACAGTGATGCAACAATTACTTTTATCAAGCGTGTAAATAAGCTAATTGACAGCAGACCAACTAGTTCTGACCATAAAGTAAAGAAATTTCATACTATTTTATTCACTGATGTCTGTTATTATGTTTCATATCGAATGAATTATGAATATTTGAATTTTAATTCTTTAAAACCTCAATTTTTTTAATAGCACATTCAAGACTTTTTGAGCTACCTTAATGAGTGGGAGACATTTGCTCGCGAGAATAATTTTCATTTTATTTCTGACTCTACTTGTTATGGGTTGAAAGATTTTTTAAAAGCTGCATGGGATATTTGAATTTTTAACTAGCCAGTGTAAGTTCAGCTACTTAATGACTGCTCGGTTAAATCAAGATTCGTTAGAGGTAATAAAAGATATATTATAAGATATTTATAATAACTTATGTTAGAATTGTTACATTAAAATTAAAAGTATTTATTATTTCTTAGAAATTCTTTGGCATCATGTGAAATGCTTGTAGATCTAACAATCATCCCAATCCCAACACTTTCCTTCAGGTTTTTCGCTTTGTGGGTACATATGTATTCCCTAATAAAGCTTCCGAAAAATTCGAATGTGTCTGGAACTGAGTTGTTAGAGACTCTGGTTGATTGCAGTACTAGACACTCCAGCGACAATAAGAAGATATTTTTAGAAGAGAAACTAGATGCAGAGTAGTGTCATAGATAAGTGTCTAGATATTAATGAATTTTGGTTAAATTTGCAAGAAGAATGTGACCACTATTATACATCCGCCTTAAATTCAAGTGATGTTGTAGGTTACCTTGCAGGTTTCATTGCTAGGCGTGCATCCAAATTCACAAATTGTTCACTTTGCCTAGCAATGTTAATCGACAATATTTGTTCTGTAATGGATTTCGATGTGGATAAAAAATGAAAATTGCACATTTGTGCACTGTACTTCTATATTTTTTTTATTGCTGCTTAGAGAGACAATTACGAGCATGTGTGCTCTTCGGTAGATATACATCAACTGACGCTTGGCTCTGAAAAATAACGCCAAGAAGCCAACGGGCGTAGCAACATACCGGCCCGCTTTGCAATATCCATGATATTCAACTCAATTGTTCAAATTTTAAAAATAACACACACAAATAACAAGGAGTGCAATTATGACATAACAAAGTAAAAAAAATAAATACATAAGACAACAAGAACAGAGACATAAGAACACAACATATCAACTAACATGACAGGAATTAAATGTTTAACTAAAGATACGGATATTTCATGTTAAAATTACTATAATGGTTGAAATTCACTTAGTAGATTAAATTAACAAATGAATGCAATGTATTTTGACAAATGAATGCAATTAGTGGATTTTTAAAGCACAAAGTTTTTAACTAAAATTGTATTCAATAGGAAGTAGACAAATTTTAGAAATAGGTCTTTTAAGTGGTCCAGATTTGGTATTTACTATTACAACTCGGATCTTTCCATCAGAACCAGGAATAGTTTAATGGATTCTTCCCATCATCTATTTAAAAAGGGCCAAATTGTCCTCCTTAATAATAACCATATCATTTTTCTTAACATTATCAGAAAAATACCATTTCTTACATTGTTGCAAATGATTAAGATAATCTACAGATCAACGTTTCCAAATTATCTGTATCATTTTTGACAGTTTACGCCAATAAGCAGGGCCGGATTAACCTATAGGCACATGCCTAGGACCTACGAAATTCAGGGGCCTACGAAAAACTTGGGAGAAAAAAATTTGTTGACAAAAATAATTTAGCTTTAAAAACAACAAGTGTATTTTGCACAAAATTATAAAAATATATTATTTTTCGGTTATAAATTATTTTGCAGAATCTTATGATCTAATATATTACTTTTTTGCGATTTTTGGATTCAACGAAATCTTGTATTATGCTGTCGAATTCCAAACTACGCAAAATGTCGTATTCAATAGACATAAGTGCGAGCGATGCCAAACGATCTTGATTCATTGTTGAACGAAGTAATTTTTTATCAATTTTAATCTGGAAAAAGATCTTTATCCTTCTGCATTTGATCCAAGAATCGACAAATATATTCTTAATGCAATGTGAACGTTAGGAAAAGTATTCACAAGTTTAATTTGAGCCTTCAACATTTTTTGTGCAGATTTATGTTCATACAAATTTGAAAATGGTGAAAATTCATCTACAAAGTTTTCCTCTAAATCGGATGAGTAAATTTTCACCAAATTTTGCGCTTTTAGTTTAATCTCAGATTCTGACAAATTTTTGTGAACAAGAAAACCGAAATTATCGTACAAATCACTGTAAGCTTTACGCCTTTTAGTCATTTCTGAAATTAATACATCTAAAATGGCGTAATACGTTCCTGACAAAAACATTTGTCTTGGATTCGAGTTTGAAATTACTTCTTGTTCTTCTGTTTCGTCGAAAAGTCTCTTTCGTTTTCGTGTTCTCTTTATATTCAGTATTCGGCAAAAGAACTTGTGCTTTCGATTCTAATTCGTCGAACGATTTTTCGGTGTGCATGTTTTGAAAATGTTGCAATAAACTATTGTACAATTTGACTACTGTGCACAATTCTATCCCTGGTTCCTGGAGAGCGAAAGTGATCATATTAACTTGTTTTAATGCATGCTCCCAAATTACGGTCATAAACGCAGTTTCAAAATTACTTAATTGAACAATCAATTTTCTTGCCTCATGTTTAGCATCTTCCTTTTCAATATCACTTTTGTAAAAAACTGTTAATATATCACAGATTTTTTTATAATATTCAATTAAAGTTTTAACTGCCGAATGGTGCATTGACGATCTGGTTTTTGACAAATTTTTAATCGTTGTCTTTAATGCACTTAACTTTGACCAAATCCGAGAGGTTGCAGCGAAGAATGTAAATAGACATTGCGAAAGTCCGAAAAAATTTACCGCATTTAAGCAACTTTCTGCAGCTGCAACTCTAAGTTCAAACTATGGTTAGCACAAGGAATCCAAACTGCAAGATTGTTTATATTTTTTATTCTACTCTGAACTCCCGAATATGTTTCACTCATGTTACGAGCATTGTCATATGACTGCGATCTGCAATCTTGTATATCAAGTCTCCATTTCCCGAAATTTGAAAGTACAGTTTCAACAAGATATTTACCTTCATGTGATTCAATGGGTACAAAAGCTAAGAATCGTTCGTATACATCGCCAATTTCAGATACATATCGAGTGGTAATTGTCAATTGATCAACGTGGCTTACATCAGGCGGCGAGTCAAAACTTATACCATAATACTTGGCTTTCTTTATTTCAAACAAAATCCGTTCCAAAACTTTTTTCCCCATCAAATTAATGAACTCTTCACAAATCGTTGAAGATAAATATGAGACATTGCCTTTTCCTGGATTACCGTATTTGACTGTGTGCTTTCGAAGAAAGGGATCGAATTGTGCTAACAAATCAATACATCCTAGAAAATTCCCATTATGCGCATTATTATGAAGCTCATTATCACCGCGAAAAGCTAAACCTCTTTCTGCTAAAAATTTAATCACTGCAGCAACTCTTTCTAAAACTTTTGTCCAATATTTTATCGTTTCTTCTTGTACTCTTATCAGTTCTTTGTCTACTTGAATCGTTTTTTGATAATTTAATAAATTTACTTGCGATGTAATATGATTTTTCGATTGTTCATGAGAAGAAATTAAAATATGTGCATTTTTCCAATCACTGAAACCAGTCTGAAAAGCATTTTGTGAAATTTCGGAACTAAATAATTTACTCACATGACAGTATAATTTACCTGTAGACATTGATAAAATCAGTTAATCTCTTTTAATAATTTCATCATTAGTTAACTTTCTAAAAAATAAGTCTTTAGTTATATGCCTATTTTTGTCACCTATTTGTCTACAAGTAAATTTGAAATCGCCATTTAAATCTTGAGAAACAGGGTTTTTTGCAATGTAATGTTTCAGATCTACAGTCACGTTCCATTTAGCAGGATCAGAACTAAAATTTGTTTGTAAATCACGAATCAAATCAACTTTTTCCGAGTGAATTGTTGCATTTTGTACAGAAGAATTTTTGTTTGAAATTTCTTTTATATGTTCGAATTGTGACAACTTTTCTGGACCTGGCATTTCTTCGTGAAGTTCCACATCAGAAATCAGGTTTTCCGAAATATTTAACTGATTTTGCTCTTCTTTTTCTGCATCACCTAAATTGTACATTTTATAGAAAGAGAAAAAATTAGAAATTCACAATTTTTTACACTGTGATTAAATTGCTTGATATTTTTTCAAATCACTAAAAACAGTATTTAGTGGCATACTTACAAGGTTTTACAAATTTTAAAATCGATCCTTCCATTTTTTTTAAATTTTTCTCTTTTTAATCTTTTTTTTTTTTCTTTTTAGGTGACCAGACTCGTGTCTTCTTAAATAACCGTCAGCCATTTTAGTTTAATATCACCAAACAATGAATGCAAATCCAATTGTTGACTATAATTTATGATCCTGAAATATCTATATATATATTTCTCTTACACGGCGATAAAAAAAAGCCTCATTACAACTCCCC